CTGCCAGCCCTCCTGCTGCTGATCACCTCTCCAAGAACCACCATCTCACATACCAACCTTCTTAGCATCTGATTTGGCATTCTAGAACAAATGTCACTTTCAAACATTGCTGAAAGCCAGCATTCTACCACCACATTTTTGTTACTCATCTGCCTGTTTAAAAGCTTGTGAATCAGCCTGATGAAGTGTGGAGGACTTCTTCCTGATTCTCTTCCTATGTGTGTGGTCCTGTGCTGGCTTCCTGCATCCTCCATGGGGAGTTCTGGTCTCTGCTTTGACTCTGAAATCATGATCTTTACCTTCTCTCTACATGTAACTCAGGAAAAAGGTCCTCATGTCTTTTTCTTCTGTTTCTGCTACATATCTTCATAATACTCTTCATAATCACGTTTCTTGTTCAATGTATTCATGGTTCTTGTACCCTGCTTTCTTCTTTTCATGATCACTTTGAAGTGTCTCCCTAGAAGCTGGGAATCTTACCCACATTTCTAAATAAATCCTGTTCCACTTTTCAACCCATGTTGTGCCTTTGAGTTATTGGACAGCTTTCCTGCTGTAAGGATTTACGCACAGGTGCATCTCACGTGTGTTGTTCCTTCTGAACTCATACGGTCCCCCACAAATTCTCTCCCCTTCTCACGTGTGAAAATGTCCAACTTGATAGATTATCTCAAAGTGAACACACCCATGTCCCTATTACCAGGTTAAGAAATAGAACTTAACCCCTTTCCTTTCAAATTATCTCTCTCAATAGGAAGAGAATTTATATTGTGAGAATCATCCATGTAATTATCTATAGGATATTCATCCCCCTCTCTGTATCATCTTCCACTGAATGAATATGACATATTTTATTTGTATACTGTTGATATACATGTGGGCTGTTTGCCATTTGGGACTAATAAAAAATTGTCCTGTTAAACATATATGAACATCTCTGTTGGATTAAATTCCATGAGTAGAATTATTCATAGAAGTGTGTAGCCAAAGTGTTTATACTGTTCTCTGTAGAGGTCTTTCCCACTGCTATTAAATTTATTCCTAGGTATTTTATTTTGTATGCTATTACAGGCTATAGGTTAAATTTTTTATTCTTTCACTGTTCCTGACATATATAAAAGCAATTAATTTATGTATGTTAATCTTGTTACCAAACTCCCTTACTATATCCAGTAGTTACTCAATAGATTGTTTTTTTAATTTTACATGAACAGTTATAGCAACTATAGTTGATGGCATGCCTGTCTATAAAGTTGAGCTAAACGGCATATATAGGAGCAAAACCAGTTTTTGCAAAGGTATTTTATAGATAAAGGGCTTTGTCAAGACAAGCAGAATTTCCTCTAGCCTGGAGGAGGATTTGAAAAATGAATGCATGTTTCTTAAATGTGAGTGGGTTAGTCAACCATGGAAATTCAGGGTCAGGAGAGGCTCACATGACAAAGTTGGCAGTGCACAGCCAAGCAGTGCACAGGAGAGAAGGACACT